AAGCCGGTAATCAGACAATCTCGTGTTGGGGTGAGGGATTTAAAGCACCACAGATCGCGGAATATGATCCAATCAGATCACAGAAAGGGTTAGAGGAAACTCACTTGTTTAAGGTCACAGGTGAGAGGGACGAGACGATGGTAAACGATGGAGCATTTGCACCTTAATTGAGATCGTTCTATCTCCAAGCTTCTTTAGATATACCAAACTCGTGAAATGTGTGTCACATACGTCCGTATAATGTATGCTGTAGATTGACGGTTGAACGGCCTCAGTTGCAGTTCGATTAGCTGAAACTGAGTTTCGTCTATAACTGTGGCCAACTGGTAAACCATTTTAGATGTACTGCATCTTCCCACATTAAAGCACTACTAATAGACAATAACTTTTATTACCAGGCTTTAAGTTAACTCCACCAGTTGTTCAGTATGGTCCGCGTGACAGCGTATCTGCGGTCCTCGCGGAACCCTAAGTTGACAGTGTCCGAGACAAAATTCAATGTTTGAAGCGAGCGTTCGAATTCCGTTGAAGTATATGAATTTTTCGTAGCTGAACGACATTAGTGATCATCAATTTCAGTAAAGAATCGTCTCATCATTGGTGAACCACATTTATTTTATACAAAACAAAGAACATTCTAAGTAATATTTAACAAAATGGGAACAGCTATACAATGAATTTGAACGCTTTTGTTTGCGTTTCGTTTTAATGGCCTGTTTTAAATTGCTGTGAACCTATTATCCAAGGGCCTTAACCGCATTCGTTGTTTGTGAAAACGATTTCATAGCGCAGTTATTTGATCATTTGTTGGGCGTTTGTTCAATTGATGAAAAATGCTGCCTGGTGCATTGTCCTTTATCGTTTCACCCTTATCTATCTTTGCTTTATATAATACGGACGAGCCATTTTATTACTCTTCATTTCGAGTTGTTTTCAACCTCAATCGGATCCCTGTTAGGACCACATTACTAAACCCCAGATCGACCGGGCTTCTCGAAGATCATGACTGCGTTTGCTTCATTCCCAAAGAATGGATATGTTATTTGATACGCGTACATCATGATCTGCATAGCCATGTACTATTTGAATAACGCGAAGTGATTAGCAGCAGTTGAGACGACTAAGCAACTTACTCAAGATGAAAAAGTCGTTGCTCTGTTTATATAGGCTCCTTTGAGGGTTGTGCTATCTTTTGTATGTATTGCTCGCCAAGGCTTCATCCAGTATACACTGATAGTAATCGGTTTGTACCTTTGTATTCGTGGAAATGTATTTGTATTTCCGGTTTGTTTTAGGATCATTGACGAAACTTTGAAAGCGGCTTCTAAGTGTAAACAAATATCTTCGTTACCACCAAAATCCATAATGATTAACAGCTCGTAGAAAATGTCAGACTGCTTGCTGAGATATCGTAGTTTATCTCGCCTTTCCGTCCATAAAACGTTTGAAGCATTTTCAATAAATCCATGTGAGTGACTTGCATTCTCCATCTATTTTCTGATAATTCCATCAATTATACTTACTTGAAGGCAGCCACCGAAACCTAATCAGGATGGTGCGTGAATTGTGTTGTATGTTAAAAAATCGGATTGAACCGCATTGAGTTCTAACTAATCGTTCACCTGCGATCGAATGAGTGGTGATTCTGTGTGCCATTGCGTCCGTCCTTTCCTTTGTTGATATAGAATGATTAACCTGTGAACCTTCCATCACATGTGAGCAATCCTTTTTCAGGGGTCGCGTACCGTCAATTTGGTTATCAAAGTGATTGGTCATACGGGGGCTCAATACTTCGAATTCTGTGGCTTTTATTGCCTGTTTCCGTACTTGGAAAGAAAGAAAGAAAAAGTCAGGATAGCTTTCATTATTTTTAGCACTCTACTTTTATATTTACTTTCGGGCACATTTGGTTTACTTGGGCAACTTCTTAACCGTCGTCTATTAGCCTTGTCGCATCGTCGTGTAGACCATTTCGGCATACACAACTCGTAACCATGTTCAGATCAAAATGAAGATTGCCGTGTCATGTGATGTGCATGTGAAACACGGACTCACAGGCGGAACAATGTGTAGATTCGGATGATAATAGTTCAACAAGTTTCTACCCCAGTCGGGAATCTAGGGACCTAAAGCATGTTGCTATCACAAGCCTGTTAGTGCAGATTTACGGTCGTTAAAGCCTTCTAACTATATTATATATTCAAAACAGTATGCTCAGCACTCTAATTAAATAACAAAATTCGGTAAACTGGTGACCGATAAATGCGTTGTTTATTTTGGAGTCTTCTTTTTGCTTGTTGAGTACCAATATTCCAAAATCACTTCCCAACATTTTACAGCAATACCCCTAAAGGATGACGCTACAATGTCCAAGAATGGTGGGAAAGGGCGATGGGAAAATTTGTAGTCTGTTGGAAAAACCACAGGTTTTTACTTGTTGCTTAGTTGCATGTCTGGTTGATTGTGCTGATATCCTCCCGCAAACGATGTTTCTTTTCGGGAGTACACTTCTCATTTCCCATAGATCTTCATTCTCATCTCCCATGTGTTGCGAAGTAGATTAAATCGAACGTCGATCATTGCGGTTCCTTTCATAGAGGTTCCCCGTGGTACGGTTAAGAAGAAAGCGAACTGATGAATTCCGACGTGTACAGAACAAATGAAACGTGAGCTGCGAAGTAAGGAAGCATTGAGCAGCTGTTTGGATCTGGATAGTTCTCATCAGCAGTGCGAATCCGTCGATGATCTTGATCTCTAGCCACGATTATCCTCCGTCACTGAGTTGCTGAAATTGAGAGTATAGACAGACAGTTGATGATTAATCGTTTTTAATTGGTACCAAAAGCAAAAATATGATCTATTTTAGCAGTAGGGTGGCGACGGGCAGAATGGGGCTGCAGCGGATGATCATAACGTAACTTCAAATACACCATGCAAGGAAAGGTAAGTATTTGGCTTTCAGAGCGACGGTGTGGAATGCAATATTCAATGCACTGCAGGGAGAGGAGCGGGATAGGCAGAGGGTACACGGAGAAGCTTGTGATTTTGCATGCAGTCGATCAATGGTATGTCAGTAGCCCAATGGCTCAACTAATATAGTCAGTATAGGTGTTCTTTAGTGCGGTTGGAAAAAACCTGTACGAACCCCGTATAATCAAACAGGAATGTAAAGATATAGGAAGGGCCACGGCGAAGTTAATGACAACTAGAAAAACATAGCAAATAAATGTAAAGAAGTTAGCAATACGTATTACAGTCAAACGGGATAGTCGTTTTCGTCAGTAAAATTATCACTTGATAACGGGAAGGAATCAATATCCTACTGGATCATCTAGGCTGTAAACTTGCACATCCTACATTGTGCGTAGCAAATCCTCTTTCCTGTTAACTGAAGAACTTCATTGTATTCATTTCTATCGGCTTCTGTAGCAACTTTTTTCATCCTCAACTTATTCCTTAATAAACATTATGATATCGTACACCAATAGGGATAAAACCCGGTAGAATACGTGTGACCGTGAGGAGATTGACAGGATAGATTTCTCCGTGATGCTTATTTCTGTCAGTCGTGTTTCTCTGAGTCATAGAACACTTCTCCATTGCTCGTGGTTCAATCTTATGTGAGCTTGATTTCCTTGTGTTTCATCTTTCAGGTCTACAAGAAAGTCGTAGTGGTCGCCTGACGTCCGTTCTCACGGGCAGTTTGGGTCGACGTCGACCCCCCGGTTCCGATTCGGACCCCATTAGCAGTTCCATCACCGCATCCGCGTCCAGTCCTTCAAAACCGTGCAAACCGAGACGCTTACATTTTGTCTATCGATTACGTGTAATCGGTCGTGATCCGAATTCCCTATTACATGAAACTGTGCGTGTACTGAAGCAAAATGGCATTTCCTATGTGCACAGGAACGAATTCTGTTTATCGTGTTCTAATCAGTCACAACCCCCTCGACAGTCCGGTTTGCCTGACTCTGTGGTAGCAGCCGTTGGACCAGCAGCAGCAACCTCTGCTGCTTCTGCAGCCGGAATAGCTAGAGAGGATGAGCATCATTTAATTAGTTCCGAAACACAGAATGCGGCCAACCTGAAATGGGAGATGGAAGTCTGCCGTCTGGGTAAACCATCCCGCTACGGAGTGAAATTCAAACGTATCTCAGGCGACCCGGAGGCATTCAAGCAATTAGAACAGGCTCTTACCCGTCAGTTCACCACACCTCTCGTCTGAATATATGATTTTGCGTGGATGCCCCGTTCTTTGTGATCTGTCTATCGAAATCCAATCGCTTCCAACCTACTCCTCCGCTCTCTAAGTTATCTCACGTAATGCTCTTTCCAGTTGGTTTGTGCATAGTGCGGAAAGCGTTTCTTCAAAATGAGGTATACACACATCTCTGTCCTTCATAATGCTTGTCGTCACACTGCTTTGCGTTCCAGTTTGTTCAATAGTAGTTCTTCAGTGACTTCCAATAGCCGCTATCATCGNTCGTAATCCTCCATTCAGAGCTACTCACTGCAATCTCCTTTACCCCACGCCCACAGACTTCGCTTCTCCATTTGCGTTGATCCTCGAGCTTAATTAATTTGGTTTTTCTCCAGAAACCCAGCATCGTCGATCTTTACCTTCTGACTACAAACGGGGATTCAAGTAGTCAGTCATTCTCCAAATCAACCTATGCATTGATTCATTCCCTCATTTGTTCATGTGAGTTGAACCTCACTCGGTTTAGTGTTTCGACCTAGTATGTTTCACCTTCACGTCGTTGCAGTAACGTCTACACACAACTCATCTGTTTCCGGTTCGACTCCACTCTGCTTGTGTGAGTGGGTGTTTTGTGCGATCTAGTGTCTGTGCGCCTCGTGTCACTTGTATTGCATTTGACCGCAGACATTATCGCGTCTGTGATTTGGCCGTTTCATGTTGCCACGCAGGACATGCGTTGTGGACCCTGCCCCTCCGTCTCTCTTCCGGTGTACTGAACAGCTAGTTCATTTCATGTTGGGTTTATCTCGCAAATAAAGTTGTATTCACTTTCATTTGTCCTCCTCCCTGACCCTGTCGCACTGCCTACCATATCCCGATGTGTGGAGACCCACTTTCCAGGTATTGGGTCTGTGCCTCATCCGAATTGTACTGTTGCGTTACTTGTTTTCTCATTCTTCTGTGGCACAGACGCTTCCCCAATAAACCCGAAACTCGGTTTGCTTCATCGTCAATGTATGTTAGCTATGCGTCTTCACATATACCGTTTCTTGTAGAAGTCCACCGAGTGTTGTTCAAGTAAGCTACCGCGGTCGTCCGATCAGTGAACTGACTTACTTCAACCTGACCCCATTTCTATACGCGCGCATGGGCCTAATGAGATCTTTCTTAGTGTTACTTGGGTCTTTGTGATGATGCTGACTGTCCGTATTCCCATACCCTACCTCGATATGACCACATCATTGTTTTGTCCATCTGTTCCTGTTTTTTTTGTTTTCTTTCTAGTTGTACATTTGGTTTCTATTTTAACCCCTCCCTCCCCGCTAACATCTCGGTCATATGCTAATAGACAATTGCTTCCGTCTTTGTTTTGGGATGCAACTTTCTTTCCAAAAGGGATTCGAGAATTGGTTCAGTCTTTTCTCATTTCGATACTGTCCCTCTACTGTTTATTCTCAATCATCTCACAAGCAGTTACTGTTAGTGTCTTTGTCGTGCTTTCCTGCC